ATACTAAGGTAGGACAAAGTCCTAGACCTTATTTTCAACCTAAATGTGTATTCAGTAAGAAGTCTGATACTCAAGGGAGAGGGAATTTACAAGTCCTTCATGTCTCCTCTTTTGTGCTCCTATTATTATCACAAGCAACAACCTTCTTAGACAAAAAGGATGGGATGTGGGATGCCCGGGGGATTTCTTGAAGTGGCCTTCAAGATAACATTTAAAGGAGATTAATTATAGTGGTGTCTGTAAAGCTTTAAAATTTCAAGTGAAATGCACTTAAAATGCTTGTCAAAGGGAATATATTTTACACACCTGTCACTTGTGAGAAGTCTGACATGAGTTGAGATTATGCAGGTTGTAAAGATAATCATTAGAACATTGGCATGCCCTACCCTAATTTGTCAAGAGGGATTTTCCAATATCCATTGACATGCCATGTATTAAGTATTCCATAACCAATTTTCCATGGGTTCTATGGTTTCATATACTTGATGAAGTTCAGTGTGGGGAAGATCTTTTAGAGCTCATGGAGGCATGAAGTGGACACGGCCCAGTCTTGAGTGAGTGAGAGGGTACAGAATGCCCAAAGGCTTTGGGTAGTTCAGCATCCACTACAGCAAAAGCCAGCAAACTAGGCTCTCAGACCAAGTTTTATTGGTTCCCAATCACATCTATTCACTGCCATATTTTCTATGATCACAGACTGGAGGAGTTATGGCAGAGACCATGTGGCAGAAAACTCTAAGGTTAATCCAACGTGAAGTTAAGAGTGATATGCTTTAAAAGTACATGCTGCTAGATTATATTCCCACCCTTGTCCTACCACCCTTATGAGTAGGACCCAGAAATCAGTATGTATGGAAAACAACATTTTCGTACAGTCAGAAAAGGAATCCCTGCACAACATTTTGCTTTTATAGTACTTAACCTTAGAAACACATTTTGGGTTGGAAAGACCTTTTTTATATGGGCTATGAGGTTGGACATTTATCCAGAGAAGTGTCTCCTAAACTCTCATTGGTACCAGAATCTAGTGTACTGCTTGCTGAATCAAATTGCTGGATACCTTCTTCAGATGTTCTAACAGGCCTCAAGTGAGACAGAAAGGGCCTTTCAACAAGTGTTTGATGGTCCTGATACTGTGGCTCTGCGCAACTCATTCTGCTTATCACGAAAGTGTTTGCATGTCTAAGATGCAAAAGTCAGTTCCTGTGACTCCTGGCATGGGTATGGACATGGATATGTACTTATGAATCACCTGGAAGGATGCCTGTAGACCACACTATAAAGACCACTGTTTTTCTGCTGTTCTCCTCTTTTCTATTATTCCTGTGAGACTTGACATCAAGCAGACTTTGCACTGGGTTTCCACTCTTTAAGGAGTTTCTTTTTATTGTGTTTTAAAATTCCCTGTAGGAGATTTTCAGTCTTGTAAAGTAACTATATTTTGAATGGGGAAGGGTGGATAGTGAATATGACAGTTTCGGGTGTCAAAACAAAATGAATTGCATTGCATAAAATAGTGGAAGAAACAAGTAAAAGTCAAGGACGTGTTTGTGCAGGTCATGAATGTGAAAACATAAAGCAGATAAAGGCAACAAAGTCAGGCAAAGACCTGTTTTGGTGCCACAAAGGGATTTTATTTTGAACCAGGAAGCAACAGAAAACAAGAGGAGATTCAGGATTGAGGGGCTTGGCAGTTGACTCAAGTACCAGGATTGAATTTGTGCTGGTACAAGGAACCATAGAGAAAACCTTCTCATTTCAACAAAAAGACCATTGGATCATAACACTTATTTCAGTAATTTGCGTTCACGAAGTCTTAGATTGCTTTAGAATTCAGATTTTCTGTTTTTTGTAAATAATTTTGATGATGAATGTGCCACTCCTCTAATGGTATTGACTGCTGTGCCTTTCTGTTTTTCTGTCCCTGGAAAAAAAAGGCAAACATTCAAGCATAGCTAATCTAGGACACAGATAACATCTTGAGCCAGGTATCATTTTCTGGCAAGTAGTTTCATTGTGCAATGTAGGATGTTTAATGCCATCCATGACTTCTAACCACCGGCTTCCAGGAGCAACATGTCTCTAACTTGTGACTACCAAAATTGACTTCAGATATAGCCAAATGTCTTCTTGGGTAGCAAAATTAAGCCCTGGATGAGAAGTATTATTTCCAAAACATTTCTCTTGCTAGTGTCATCGTCTCTGCATGCCATTTATGTTTTACCAAGAGACACAATATGTCAGCACTCCAACATCAGATGCACTGAAAAGGCAGGCACATGTCTCTGCAGCCATTTGTATGTTCTCCTGGAGCGGAGACAGAGATCCATCTTGAGTTGGAGGGCACTGGCTCATTCCTCAGGAAGTTGAAGGTCCATTTATCAGTACCATAATGAAAAGTCTGTCTGTGTTCAGGTTGCTTTCCCTCCACAGAAACCATTATCTATGCAGTCACTTTCTGAAATTACTTTCTTTTAAAGCTGCAGAGGAAAATCTTCACCCTACACCTACCCTCATCTAATCCACCATTTAGATTCATACTTGAATAATGTGAATCCAAAGCAAGCTTCAACAAGCCACTTTCAACGTTGGATCCATGTTCTCTTTATCCATTAGGAAGAGCAGTACCATGTTTTGGAGTCCTGTTCCAAGGACTGGCTACATAACATGCAGGGTCAAGCACAAAGTGAAAATGCTGGCTTTGTGTTCAAACACCACTAGGAGTTTCATCATGGTGAAGAGAGAGAAGGATACCAAGCTTAGGCTCTTCTGCACGCAGGGCTCTTGGCAACTGAGTCATTCACATACACATGGTGCCAAGCCTTTACAGCCTTTGTTGGCATCTCATCAGTTTCACTGTACTAATTTAATTGGCACTGCCATCTCTTTTGCCCCTCTATGGAAATGCTTCCTGTGAGTGGCTCTAGTCCATTTAAAGGAAATGCAGAGTTATACTGCTGTAAATGTTTACATCATGTATTTTTAGACTTAAGAAATTCCACATGGAAATTTTTCCATACCATTACAGCAATTAAACACTGTGGCCCTTCACCATATACATATTTTCATGTTAATATGACAACCTGGAAATAGGAACTGCTACATCCACAATGTTTTTAAGTTACCCAAATGTAAGACTTCCACAAAAAATTATAACATAATCTGCCTTGTCCTTACAAAAATAGTCAAAACACACCATAAACAGCTTGCAGTGAAAATCTGAATAGTAACATCTTTATACTGAAAAACATATTCATGGAAATAGTGTCCTAAATGTTAATATCATAAGGCAAACTGTAGCATTTATTGTTACCTGGAGGCCATGAGTTTTTAAAAACTCAGAAATCAAGTTTTAGACCCTTTTGTTTAGAACCTGTAAGTGTACAAAGTGCATTAAAATATCTATTATCCAGTTACCCAAAATGTACATAAAAATGACTAAGACAACTTTTCAGTTTATTCAGGGAAGGCAAATACATACTTTTATATTGTCAAAAAGATCTAAGAACTTCCTAGAGAAAGATGAAAATTTTTCCACTGAGGTGTCTATTTTTAAGATGTGAAATTGTCTTAAGCCGCTATCAAAATATTCATCTGGGTATAAATTATATAGTAAATATATAAAATCTATCCATTAAGAAAATGGACAGCATCTGCCAGGGAAGAGGCAAAAAAGACACAGGAAGCTGGCTTTATCTTCCATGAAGACCAGATTGGCAAGTACATCAATTGTGAGCATGAGATACTTAAATGGAGAGTGTATTGAATAATTTCTGGGAAAAGGCTGATTTGATTCAAAACAAATCATCAAAAACAATTAATCACCACCAGTATTTTCAGTCAATGCTGACTAATGTGGTGGCCCAGATCAATATTTTAGCATTGAAACCGTGTCCCATGCTAAAGACTACCAGGGAAAGTCTTAATCCAGGGACCATTATAGTGTATTAGATCAGCATGAAAATAATTTTATTTGAAATTTGGTTAGCAGATTGTATTAGCAGATTTCCCTGTAGAAACAGTAAATTCTAATTTTTTTCTAACAACTCTATGATAAACTATACTAGGATATAAGGAGTCTATAACTTTAGAGGCATTTATACTGGTGACTAGTATTTTGTGTAATGTGTCATATCATTACTCATAAATACTATTTTGGGTGACTTATATTTGGACATGGTAGTGTGGCCTTGTGCTTATGTCCTAGAGAATAAAATCAATTGAAAACAGGATTGCTGTTTTGTGACAGGAGATGTTAATTTCCATACACCCAGAAAGAAAAGAAAAAAAATGGTTTTCTACAGGGCAAATTAGGGCACCTTTTAAACATAGTAAAATAATTTCATAGGCCTACAATAACTAGTAAGAGGAAAGGGGAAATAGTTTTATACCATGAAATAGAATTCTACGTTTGATAAAATCCAAAACAACATGAATTCTTGAATCTTCTGTAAGATTCAAAATGACAATGTTCAATTGCAATCTCATTCATGATGTTAGCCCAAAAACTGCAGCCCTGGAGAAATGGGTGAATATGTGACTAAAGATTTAAGAAACTCTTTTCTTCCCAAGATCATCCCATCAGTTACAGCTAAGCTTGAGGTTCAAAGTTAATTCTTTCCTTCTCCATTCTTCCCCATTCTATTTGATCCAATACAAGTTTCTGACATCACAGTTAAAGCATCTCAAGTTAAACCAGAGTAAGAAGCCTGTTTACTTCCTTACTAGATTCAAAAATGACTTGTACTTTTGAAATAGCTGCATATTCTGTTATTCTAAGTGACAGGACCTAGCATGGTCTCAGTATGAAATAGAATGTGAGCAAGTGAATAAACACACAAATCTACAGAAAGATTTTTGCAAGTCCACACACTGATAAAATGAAACTGGTAAAGGGCTTGTAAGCTTATGGGCATCTTAATGCACAAAACCAAGTGATTCCTAAGAGTTGTAATCCAGATTATGTTTCTTTTATAAATAAACTATAGATTTTCCTCTAAATACAAAAAAGCAAAGAAATATTAAAGCCTGTACTTAATACAAAACACAATAAAAGGAAGGACATCTCTCATTTGGAGCCCTATCTTAGCTGGTTTCTGGTCAAGCTGGGGAGATTTAGTCACACTCTTGAAGCCTTAGTTTTTCAATCCCCTAAATAGTGGCCTCAACCTTTGTTATTCCTCAGAGCTGCTCTGGGGCTGGATGCTCAAGGCAGCTGTTCTGTGCAGTCCAAATGGTCTGGGATGGGAAGACCAGTTATAATCGTCAAACACTTGTTCCACACAGTAAATGTGGGGCACACAGGCTGTGAAAGTGCCACGTCAAAGGTGTAGAGGTGGATGGAGTTCAAAGCATCATAAAAAGCAATGGAACCATTATCATAGTCCAGCAGGATGCCTACACGCCGGAGGTGGGGGGCTGGCTCAATGGGAATTTCCTTGCTGTTATGCCTAACCACCCAGTTATTGTTGCAGCGGCAGAGGGCCCAGGATGCAGAATTCTTCCCAATCCATTCATGTTTAGGGGCTGATTTGTATGCAAGGCCAATGGCGTACCTGCAGAGACAAAACAGCAGTGATAAAAACAATTTGGTCTGTGGTCCACAGGGGCTGTTAAGATGTGGTTATTTGTTGTCCCTGATCACTTTCTTTGTCCTTCCACAGAGGTGGAAGACAACCAGTGTGTTGGCCTACCTTCCCCTTTTCAGCTTAAATATTGCAAGAGAATCTTGACTTTCCATTTTCCTATTCGGTTTCTCTTTTGTGCATGCCTGCACATTCAATTCTCTGGACCAGTGCTGATTAATACAGACCTTTCTGTAATAATTGGAGTGTTCTGCTCTGTTCAGTATGACCATCACAAGCCTCATACAGCTACTGTGCATTGGAACTGTAGTTGGTGAGCCTATGAAACCAACCTTAAATTTACAGACAATCCATAATTTAGGATGCTTGGATTTAAGGGTTTTATTTAACCTTATTAAGACAATGTATAGTTACCAGAATCGTCCTCTAGTTTTGATATTTCCTGAGCTTGCGATACGCAATTCCATCCTTTTGTATGACATTGGGCATCATGATGGGAAACTGACACGATACATTATAGTGTGCTTGAAGACAATAAAGGATATGAGATAATCAAGACACTATTACAAGTAGGACTTTGTGTTAAAGGAGTTAGCCTGACTGCAGGTTCATGTAAGTAGTCTGAGAACATTCAATGCAGAGCAGGCTGAGCTGTGATGTTCAGGAGGGTAGGTGTCAGAAATACATTTATTTTTCACTTATAACATTTTCATTTTTCCCTACTTGATTATCATCATATAAATTCAGCATATGAACGGAAGAGGCTTTATTTATATCTGTTTGTTTGTTTGTTTGTTTGTTTATTTTGAAAAAAACATTTTCACACTGTGGCCCAGACTGGCCTCAAAATCATACCACCATTTTGTTTTCAGCCTTCTGAGTGGTAGGACTTAAGTTAAGCCCCACTTGGAAGGAATTTTAGTTTTCATTAAGTTTATTTAAATGACTACATATTTGGAACAAGACTGCTATACCAGAAAACATGAGTCTATATAGGCTTAATTCTTTCAACAGACTGAAACTCTGCAATTGGTATTATACCTGCTGTTTGCCCATGGCTTTGGTCGTATTTTGGCAAAGGGAACCAGGGGAAATGCACTTATAGGGTTAAGTCTCTATTCAACCTCAATGCCTCATCTATAACACAGAAAAAGTATAGTCTCCATACCCACAAATTAAAAAGTAAAGAAAAATATATTTTAAATCCAAATTACGATGGCTGGTATATTATGTTCTGTAATTATTATTTTATCATTACTACCTAATGATATACTAAAGTATATATTGGAATCAGAATTCAAACCTAGTATGCTTTAAAATGTCATAACTTCAATTGATGCTTTATACTATCTTCCTCTCATCAGAAATTGTACAACACTTTACTGCCTTTCTCATTATAGTTCCTACTACATTTAAAATGTATTTTAAAACTATCTTTGTGAGGGCTATACAGATGTCTTGTTGAGAATATATACTGATCTTCCGGAGGACACAAGTCTGTTTCACAACCACCTGTAACTCTAGCTCTAAGGGATCCAACACCCTCTTCTGATTTCCACAGACATAGACAGACACACAGACACACACACTCACACACACACACACACACACACACACACACACACACACACAAATATGAATCTTATGGATTCAATGTGGAAAGAAGAAAAAAGAAGTAATGTTAATTGGGTGGGAAGGGATGTGAGGAAAAAGGTATAAGTGAAAAATACATTGTATGAAATTCTAAAGGAATTATTAAGAGCATTTTAAAACTCTCTGTGCAGACAATTTTTCAGTTATCCTAAATATCCTTTCTTAGTACTGAAAAGAATCTAAAGAAGTTTCCTACATTATTCAAAGCTTTTTAATCTCCTTTTCCATAGCTGATCCATTCCCTTGAACACTTAAAACATTTCACAGTTATTATCATAATTCAAACACATCACTGTTAATCAAGCGTGAATAACCCTGAGTTCAACTTTTGATATGTGAGAGCAGAAACCAGTGTAATTGGATATTGACTTGTAGTACCTGACCCTGAGAAGAGAGAGGAAAAACTTCACTGGTCTTTGTTAAAAATAACATTGTAAGAAAGAAACATCACATGATAGATCTTAAATACAATTTCTTTAAGAGAGGTGCATTAAAAAAAATGCCACAACTAAAGAAGATGTAATTGTAATCCATTGACACAGTATCTTCTCGTCCCTCCTGTCAATCTCCTGTGTGCAGACAGTTCTGGGTTGTGCTACCCAGAAGCCTGCCCCATTTTTGTTTTAGTCTGGGACAGGTTATGTAATTGCAATATCCTTGCACAAGATCCTGAAGTGAGAAAAGGATCAGGGACACTGTTTCCCAGTGTCAGACAGTGGATGTGAGGTGTGATGACTTCAGGATTTACCTGCTTTGGAAGTGGACAGCAGGTCCTCATGACTTCTTGCACTGGAGTGATGGACTCCTGCACTGAATTCCCAGCCCTGCCAGAGATCCCATAAGTTTTCCACTCCTTTTATCTTTGTAGGTACTTGACTGACTTCTCTTTATTTGTTAAGGGCTAACCAATTTTTAGAATATTTGCTCACCCTTAAGTATGTGCAATGTGTGTGTGTATGTGTGTGTGTGTGTGTGTGTGTGTGAGAGAGAGAGAGAGAGAGAGAGAGAGAGAGAGAGAGAGAGTTTGTGAGTTCGTGCATATGTATGAAGATACAACTTCAGTGTTTAATACTGGGTGTTGTCCTCTATTGTTCTCCACCTTATTATTTCACTAAATACAGACATAACTAATTTGTTTAAGCTTTTTTTCCAGTAAGCTCTGTGGAATCCTACTGTCTGTGTTCTTCCAACTCCATACTAAGGTTACAGGCATGTGCAACCAATGTCTGGATTCTACATGAATGCTGGGGATCATGACTCAGGTCCTTATGCTTATATAGCAGGCACTTTATGAACTAAACTGTCTCTCTAGCCCCATGATATATGTTTTTTGATTTAAAGTATCACCCTTGATACTATATGGCTCACTAGACACTATTTTAATTTTTCAGATAACATGGAACTTCAACTTGCATCCCCAAATAGCAATGGATGTACTGTCTCCTACTTGATGATGCAGACCATTTTAAAATTAAAGAATGCTAATGTTTATTTTCCATTTTAACCTCCATTGAACCCTTTGAAGTAGCTGCAGTAGGGAGGGCTGACTTCGTTCAGAAAAGCAAAATGTTAAAATTAGAAGAAAAATACAGAAATCTCATGCTGCCCTTAAAGTTCTAGTCTCATAATACTGGTATTATTACTGCCTTACTTAACACTATTTCATTAACACCAAATGCATGCTAACAGGATTTGAGAGCAAGACAATAACCACGTATATAGTCCATTAAGCAAAGGAAAATATCATTATATTGTCATTAATCTGTGAAATTATGTACATATTTCCATTGAGCTTGAATGATGCAGTAGAATATAATGTTTCATTAAGTTACACAGTAAGACATAAAGAAAATTTAAAAGTACAAAAATCTGTTTCTCAAAAAAATGTTAACATGCCCCATTACATGAATCATAATGTACATGTTAATTTAAAATCAAGCATATATTTTATGAAAAGATATGTGTGTCACTAACTGTTGTAAGCCACAGACATTTAATTGTAGGGGGCAACTTTTCCTTGCTGTTACCATCTAGGAAATGTGAAAATACTTTCTACATGTGATTTTTCTTTAATTGACACAATCAAGTTTGCATGTAAAGACCTAATGTGTAGCAACTAACTGTAGAATTTATTTTTCCCACACATGAGTTATTTTGACATCTGGAACGTGTTTTCAAGGTAATACTAATCTGTGTTTATGTAACTAAAGTGGTCTAGTGGAATTTTCCACACTATTCATCAATGGCAATGAGATCATAATGATCAGGTATCATTTATCACAAATAATTATTAATGGGGTTATAATCATTTAGACTCTAGATTCTGAAATTCCAAATTAAGAAAGCACATCAATTAACTAGAAACTTTTGCTTTTCTGCACATGAACTTTATTTCCCTTTGTGTTTTTATCTTGCCTCAGCATAACTAAAAATTTCAAGTGCCAGTCTGGGGAGATGATTCAATTGGTTCAGAGAACTCAGCATTGATCCTCCAGACTTCATGTAAAAAGCTAGCCATGACAGTGAAGCTATACTCATGACACTTCAGCAACATTGCTACCTAAACAGGACATGAACAATTTCAACAACAGTAAATATCACAGTACCCATATATGAAAACCTGTAAGCAATTAACTCCTGAGAGAGGGAGAATCAGTCTTCCCCATGGATGAGCCCCCTGACTGTCAAATACTGAGTGGTCAGCCCTAGAAACATGAATGTAGCAACACTGAACAGACTCACAATGGTTAAACATGGTTAAAGAAGAAAAGGGTCCATGAATTTGGGAGGAGTGAGCAGACATGGAAGAGGAAGAAAGGAGGAGAGTGAGGGAGTAATGAAGTAATTGTGTTTTAATTAAATTGTTAAAAAGAGAGGAGAAAAAAGCTATGTGTGGTGGTCTGTGCCTGTAATCCCTGCATTGGATAAATGGAGACAAAAGGATCACTGGTGGTCAGCCAATCCAGTTGAATTCTTCAACTCCAGGTTCAGTGAGAGACCTTGTCTCAAAAATAAGGTGGAGGGTAATTGAGGAAGCAGCTGGCTGCCATATGTACACATACACAAAGGCACACTCATAAATTTCAAATTACGATGAATCCCACAGCCTTGGAAGAAATAGGACTTGTTCTCCATCCTCTGACAGAATGAAAGAACATGCCCCCTAAACGTAGATGTTAGTTAGGAGGACTGGGCAGTCTATGAGGCCTCTGGTAGTGGATCAGTATTTATCCCTAGTACACAAATGAACTTTGGGAGCCCATTTCACATAGATGGATACTCCCTCAGCCTAGACAAATGGGGGAGGGCCTAGGCCCTGATCCAAATGATATGATAGACTTTGAAGGCCCCTCATAGATGTCCTCACTCTACCTGGGGAGCAGATAGAGGATAGGATGGGGATTGGAGGGGGACAGGGAAGGAGGGGAGAGTGAGGGAACTGTGATTGACATGTAAAACAAGCTTGTTGCAAATTTAATTAAACATATTATCAGAACAAAAAAATAAAAGCATACTCAGTAATACCCCCCCCAAAAAAAGAATGAAAGAAAGAAAAGAAAAGAAAAAGAAAAAAGTAAGAAAGAAAATGGTCTAAGCAAAGAGAATCAGGAGGATAATGAAAGATGTAAGCTAATGCAGATAGCATTATTAAGAGAGTGAGAATAGCCACTTATGCAACCTTCATTAGATTTTGGTTGATTTGTATGTAGCTACGTGTACTTTGTGTACATCACATTATTTGCATAGATTAAAATGAAAATGACTTATATTAGAAGTGTATTGCCATGCTTTTATTAAAACAAACTCTTCTGGTATCTTCATCACTTTCAGGTTGTGCCCTTTTGAATGTTGGTCTTAAGTTTTATTTTTGTTTTTATTTTTTTTTCTTTCTTGGCAACCTCATACATTTATGTAATGAATTTTAGTCATTTTCACCTCTTTCATTTCCTTCCCTCTCCTGATTGAATCCTTCTCTACCACTTCTCTTCTTTTATGTCAGCTATCACTCATTAAGTATACTCCATCATGCATTAAAGCATAATTATAACGCTTCAAATCTATATCACCCTTCAGTGAGTAATGACATGCTAGGGCGGTTAAAGCAGAGATCAACAAACTACAACCCAGGGGTCAGCTCTGGCCCCTTGCCTATTCTCACAAATGTAGTTCTATTGGCACGCAGCCATACCCATTTGTATATGCATTGTCGGTGGCTTCTTTCCCACTATAACAGCCCCAGGCTGAGTACTTGGGACAAAAATTTCCTGGCCTATAAAATCAAGACATTAACTCTCTTGTCCTTTATTTATGGGCTTCTAGTTTAAAGTCAGACCCCTGACCACAGAATTTGTAACTACCAACTGTGAATTTTATGACTTTGGGCCCATGCCTTAGTCACCTCATCTGTAAAATGAGAATGACATCATCTACATTATTTTTTCTTTTGGCCTTGAACTCAGTACACACACACACACACACACACACACACACACACACACACACACACGCACGCACGCACGCACGCACGAATGCACGTACACAAGCACACACACACACATGCACGTACACACACATGCACACAAATATATATGAAGAAGACCTTGACCTCTACCTCTTCCTGTCTGTGCTTCACGAATACTGGGATTATAGGCCTGCACTACCATGTTATATTTCTGCAGTGCTTGGAACAGAGACATAGCATAGACCTAGACCCAACCTGTCACTTAAAGTATAAACCCAGCTGAGATTAATCCTCATCAGCTAGCCCACAATTACATGTGTTTAATAGCGTTAGTAAATGGTTGCTGTTGAAGGCACACTAATTTTGGGGATGTTTGTTATGTAGCATTATTGTAGGGGTGGGTTTGGTTCTGCAGAATTCATGCAGGTTATAAACTTACAACCTTGACAAAGTACAGAATAGCTTATTGAGACCCTTGATAAAGTAAAGAATAACTTGTGCCTTTTTACACTTCGGAGAAAATAGATAGAAGCTTCCTACCATGTGCTTCCACTTATGACCACTTCCCAGTAATGGCGGCCACTATCAATGAACACGTTTCCAGCCACTCCATAACTCCCTTGGCTAGTGAAGCGTTCAGGTGTGTGACTCTTTTTGGATGATGACTCATCTCGTTCTACAGTTAGGTTATCATGGGACACCTTCAGTTTTCGATGAGCAGATTTGGGATCCAGTTTAAATGGCTGACCTAGAAACAAGATCACAAAAGAAAAAGAAGTGAAAAAGTACTGTTTATTAGAATGCAAATTTAAAAGTTTGAAACAAGGTGTGAAGAGATAGCATAGTGGTTTGGTTCCTAGCACCCACATGGCATTTCACAACTGTCTGTACCGCTAGTTCCAGTTTATCTGACTTCACTGGGCGTAAGGAGTGCACTTGGTTTGCAGGCACACATGCAGGCAAAATACTCGTATACATGAAATACAAAGGGCCAAAAAGTCTAAAGCAAGCCATCACACCTGGAGTTATATTTTCTACGACAGAAAAGTATCTAGTATTCTAATAACAATTTAAGATTTAGAAACAACTTGTTAAAGGCACTTATTTATTTACACTTTCCCAGGTGTTCAAGAAAAATTATGCAACCTCGACTCTGTGTATTGTGCTAAAAACAGTAGTGCTGGAAAAGAGCATGGCTGTGCTTCCTTGAGTTTCTAGAGAAGGATCCAGTGTTGCTCTGTAACTATTCAGAAAGGAATGGACAAGGGTTAACCCAAACACATGGGCGATCCCAGCACAGGTACATTATGTCTGAAGAAAATCCTGGAAAGGAGGAGAAAAATGAAGACCTTATTTACAGGCCTAAAATACACCTGTGCTAAATAGCCTGCAGGACAGAGAACAAATAAATTAAGATTTCAAGTCTGAACATAGTGTTCTAAACACATCATTCTGAGCTTGGTAAAAGTAAAAGTATGACTCTTTGGGACTATACACTTATATTTTTTTTCAGCAAGGGCAAATGACAGTAATGCTTAAGTGTTCTATTTTTTGAGTTATTAATACATATAATAAATAAAATTCTCTTTCATTATTCACACTTTTGTTTTGAAAAGTTCAACATTTAAACACCCTGGCAAGTCGGCTATGGACTTTTTGATATAGCTGGTACTACTCTGTCAATTCAACATTGGGTCTGAGTACTGCCAACGTTTGACACCACACTAGGGCACTAGGCACTTAAAGATGGGAAACATATTACAATTTGGTAGTAATAACACACTGTCCAACTTCACAGCCACTGTTGCAATTGGGAGAGGCCTACAATTTATTATGCAGGTACCAGGGAATCACAGGAAAAAAGCCGTGTAAATAAAACTACAAGCAATGCATGTTTGGGCTGGAGACGTCATGGGAAACTGTGTTCACTTAAATATGGGTGTTCTGCTTGGATCTAAACATAAACCAGAACCTCAAAGTTCTTTGTAGGTCAGTGACCAGCACACTGTTTTTCAGTTATGTAAGGCATGTGATTTTTTTTAAAGACTCTGTCTTTGTAGTGAGGAAGTAGTCACAAACTGATAAATGAATGTGTATGGGTATATGCGCGCGCGTGTGTGTGTGTGTGTGTGTGTGTAAGAGAGAGACACAGATGGAGAGAGAGAGAAAAAGAGAGAGACTTATAATTAAAGAATTAGAGGCTATGAATTTGAGACGGGTAGGAGGGATTGTGGAAGGAATTAGGAGAAGAACGAGGGGAAAATATATGCAAATACAGTGCTCATCTGAAATTCTCAGACGAATTTTTGCTATGTTCGTATCTTATTGAGTACTTTGGGGTTTATGTATGTTTGAACATACATCTTATGCATTCTTAAATTTATCTCTAATGTATCATTTTGGTATTATTATAAATGTAAACCTCCAACTTTTGGAGCTTACACTTGGATATAAGATTGATGTCTACACACTAAAAATATATTAACAGAATAAAAAAGGATAAAAGAATATAAACCCAACTTAAGAGAAAAAAAAACTTCAAGGGCCACAAAGGTAGCTCTAAGAGGTCATCAGACCTACCGGAATATACCTATATTTTAATTTTGGCTTGCCTTATTTTAAAAAAAAAAGTCTTCAAGGACATTCATGCCAGCAACTGTCAGGGTTAAGACAGAGGATAAGCTCAGAAAAGAACAAAGATTTGTTTACTTAAAATATTGCAATTATTAAAGGTGCAAGACAAATGTGAGTAAAAATAATTTGACACTAATGGGTATAGAAGAAAAAAATTCTGTCTTGGAGCTCACCATTTATGTAGGCCTGAGTGCTAGTTGGCCTCTTGCCAGTGAGGAATAGCAGAATATTTAGAAAGATGGGGCTTATGGTAAATAACTGCCTGCAATGTCCTGCTTACTTTTACTCCCTATCTCAGCCACTCACATACACATCAGGGGCCTACCAGCTTCCATGGGACCTAAGCCTTGAATTCTTATGAAGCCAGTTCTGTCTGGGCCAAAGAGGCCTTTCAAAAACAAACCTCTGCCCATTCTTACCAACTTTCAGGCTTTTGCTTCAATGAAGACAAATTAGCTTGAGAAGGAAGTTAATGCTTGTGTTACTAAAGAACTTAAATCATAATACCATTTGTAGAGGACATGACCTTATCCTGGCTACTGTTTTTTGTTTGGACAACTCTCATAATAATCTCTGGACACATTCCACAGATGTCAATCTTCCTTCACATTTTAATCCATTCATCACAACACAGTGCAACAAAGCATTATGTTTTGCAGATTCTCATCCAGCCTCTAGCATGTAAACTCATCACCCTATCTTCCCTCAAAAACTGCCCTTGAAAAATCAACTGCCTCATGACCCATAATGGGTTTACCATCTGGTTTTGTTTGTTTCTGTTTTGTGATGCTGGGGCTTAGAATGATGGGTTCACACATTCTAGTCAATCACTCTACCCTGGAGTTATATCCTAAGCCATATCTGACAGAGTCTCACTAAATTGCTCAGGCTGGTCTTGGACTCAATCTGTAGATTAAGCTAGTGTTGAATTTAGTATCTTCCTATAGATAGGAATACAGTCCAATGAGAACAGGCTTAGCTACTTTTTATATTTCAAAACCTCTCTCTCTCTTTCTCTCTCTCTCTCTCTCTCTCTCTCTGTGTGTGTGTGTGTGTGTGTGTGTGTGTGTGTTGTTACTGGGCTTTGGCCCACTACAAAATATAAGCTGGTCTAGAATTTGGCATCCTATTTCATTGTCCTAAGTGCTGGGATTATAGGTGTGCCCCAGTGTGCCTTGATTTACCATAGGTTTTTGTCTCTAGTTTCCTCTCTCAGCAATCCTTTCAACTGATTCATTTTCTGTTGCACAGACATAATCTTTCCTCTGGGCCTTTGTATATGGTGTTCCTTTGTTATGGAACACTCCTTTTTCTTCATGTCCCTTAATCTCACCTCACCTAAAAAGCCACCATGGCTATGCAGGATGATGCTCTTTTGAATATCCAGCACTTTCATGAGTTACAGCCATTACAGATTCCAGAAATGCAATGATAACTAAGGAATTACGTTTTGTCTTCCCCATCAGTCACAAATCCTTAAGAGAAAACCATGTGTAGTAGAGGCATGTTGTTTCAGTGTACTCAGCCTATAGCATAGCATCTAAAATTCACTAGGCGCTCCAACAGTTTTTGAGAGACCAAATCATACTCAAGTGTATATAAAAAGCTGTTGACCAGGGTATACATAAGCTAATTTCAACTTGTTCTGTGGTTTTTAACAAAGCATGGCAAAATATTAATCTTATATTCTCCAAACTGTTTCAAATTTATCTTTGTGACAGTTCATAAATGAAGCTAAATCTTTCCATAGTAAAAGTGAAGAACCAAAACCTTTTTTTTACAATGGGAAAAGGATGAAGAACTACAAAATGTGGGATGAGTTCTTGCATTGAACCCTGTGAAAGGAACTGGATGCTAGAGATAAAACTGTAAATTCTAAATAAAGCCTAGGGCTTAGGCAACAGAAATGTACAAATGTCAACTTCCTAAGTTGTGACAAATCTGTCAAGGTTATGTAAGATGTTGACACTAGGGGGAAGCTGAGTAAAGGGTATACATGGTTCTCTGTCATGGCTACAGGTTTTCTGGGAATCTACAATCACAAAATGGTTTTGTTTAAGACAATATGAAAAAGTAAATCTTACAGCCACGTGGATGTCATGTGGCTGAATCTCAGTTTTCTCATGCTTAATCCAGTGCTCTTCTACCCTGTGCTAAAATCAAATTATGAGGTACCATGCTCTGGGAAACAAGAATATGATTAAATGGGAGCTCCTCTTGAAAACTCATTAATTGTTCTGTTGATTGGCACCCCCACGACATGGTGCCATATTTACATAGTGTAATATTTCTAGATCAAAAAGATGTAAAGAAAGAAAAGAGGTTAAACCAAAACACAAGTAGGCAGAGACACTGGCAGTGTTGTCAACAGTAAAATGACCAAACCATGAGACACAAGACAGGCTGCATCATTCTTTGTGCTGGGAGCTGTCCTGTATACCACAGATGTTTAATATGTCTGTCCTATTTATTTGATGCCAGCAACATCCTCCTCAGTTGTAATAATACAGGAAAATGTCTCCAGATATTATTAAATGCTAAATGGACCGGGGCTGTGCAAGAAAGACAGAATTGCCCGTGATTGAGAATTACAGACCCAGATCAGATATATGGAATAAAAAACAAATTCCTGACAAAAGAGACATGAACTTGTTTTCTCCTATGGAAAACAACCCTATTTACCTTTACAGAGCCCTATTCTGTAACAGGCACCTATTCAGGTTTTTTTTTTCTTCTTTTACATATTGATCCCAGTTCCCTCTCCATCCCTCCGTCCCTCCCCCACTTCCACCCTCCCAGGCCCCCTGATCACCCTCCCATTCCTTTCCGCCCCACTCCACATGTAGGGTGATGCCTTCCAGGAGGGGTCATCTAAATCTGTCAAGTCATTTGGAGTAGGGACTAGGCCCTCCCTCCTGATCAGGCACATATTCTGTTTCTCACAAGAACTTCTCCAGGATTGTTTTCTCAAGAAATGAGAGCAACTACTTGCAAAGAAGTTAATGGCCACAGGGCTTAGAAGACATGAAATCAACTTTAGAACCCAGAGGTAGCTGCTGGTAACCTCAGTACTTCACACTGGCTCTTTATTTGCTTTTGTAAACCTGTCAGTGATGCCCAAGACACAAAAGAAAAAGAAAGGTGGAGAGGATTCATGTTAGCCAAGAGATGAGTAGATGTGAGATGACAGCACAGCTGACTTCACAGCACTTACTGTTTGTCTTCAACTTCCCAGGCTCACTGCTGCGGCTGCCTGCCTGGTTGATGGCCTTGACCATGAACATGTACTTGGTGCCACTTTGTAGGCCATGCACAGTGTAGTGATTCTGCTTGATATTGGGCACAATCATCCAGCTATCAGCTGAGTTACACAGACCTGCAAAGCCAACCAGACAGGTGCAATCACAGGCAATGTTTGTAGAATTTTAGGTTATTTGAACTGTAAACATTGAAAAATAGAGCTTTCTCACTTTTTATATAGGATAACCAATAAAATAGTGTTCAGCATGCTATCTATATTTAGAGCTCATTTTGTATTATATGCTCCTTGTGAGCATTCCACTTGCACAGGCCACTGAAAATGCTGATATTGCAAACTCTGGTCTGTGTGAACAGATGCAGCAAAGGTGTTTTTGTCTGGGACCATATGCACCAAACATGCACATGATATGTCATTAAGGGTTGTGAGGAAGAAAACAAAAGTAATCACCGATTGATCCCATTCTATCTTACCTACCTTCACCAATGGCACTAGTCGCTGAAGCTTGGTTCTCATGAATTAACAAACTCACAGATGGTGAGGGTAACTGATGCATGTACTAAAAGCTGACTTCATCAGCACTGACATAGTTGATTGCATTTTGCCTCTAATACTTACCCTGCCCATATCCAAGCCAAAGTGGCTTTGCAGCTGCTCTCTATAAAGAGGAGGAATATACTGCCTTGCCATGTGGCTTTGGGTTTGGTCATATATGATTTGTTAACTTGAGAACAAATGACAATATGTTTGTTGCAAGAGTAGGTTTGAGGTTTTCTGTTGGGCTCCTGTATCTCTGTCATTGCCATGGGGGCATCATTTGGGGGACAGTCTGCTTACTTCAACAAATGAGACAAAAAGGGGATCTATTCTGACTAATTTTATGCCAACTTGATACAAGCTAGAGTCATTTGGGAAGAAGAAACTTTAACTGAAAAAATTGCCCAATAAATTCCATGTGAAGAAATATATGGGGGCATTTTCTCGACTGGTGATTGCAGTGGGAGAGACCAGTTAGTTCCTGTTGATGGTGACATCCTAGGGCTGGTGGTCCTGGGTGCTGCAAGAAAGCAGGATGAGTAAGCCAGTATAGTGGTACTCCTTCATGACTTCTGCATAAGCTCCTGCCTCCTCCTGGTTTCTGCCCGGCTTGAGTTCCTGACATGACTTCCCTCCATAAACAGAATGTGAAATTATGTTGTCATGGTGTTTCATCACAGAAGTAGCCCCTCTAAGACAACAGCCTTATCATTAGTTTAATGCAGCAGTAAACCCAGCATAGATCAGCCAACTCCATCTAATTTCTAATGGAAGAAATGTAAAAGTCATCACCAAGTGGCCTATGATCCTATATTAATGTGGATTCAGAGACACCTGAGATAGCAGCAGTACTTAGGGCCAGCTTGGTTCCTATTGTGGACCTTGGAAAAGTGTCTACAGGACTTTTAATCAGCTGCATCCCTGGGATAACTGGTCCAGAGTGAAGTAGAGCTGCTCTTCTGGCTTCATTCTGCAGGATGTGGGTTGAGAAGCAGGCTGAGGATTTATGAGGCTTGGAAGAACACGTAGGAAAAAGGAAGCCCATTTTGTTTTGCAGTTGACTGATGCTAGAAACTTCTTTTTGGTATCAGGCCCAACTTTCCTCTCTCCACCCATCAATCTCCACTCCAATAGAACCTTTTCCCATTTCCCTGGTGACTACGCTGTCATGAAGTTTCCTTTCTCAGTACTAGTCCCTGGGAGAGTGCCAGACCCTTCCACTTCCTGAGGTATTCCAAACTCACCTCCCCCTCTTTCCTTTTTGGTTCATTTGCAAGTCAAAGGGTTAGTTCTTTTGATCTCCAGGCAATTTATACCTCATCCAACTCTCAAGAAACAGTTCCCCACTAATCTAATGAAAACTTTCTGAGGGAAGAAATTCACAAATACCCATCTACACCAAGCCACAAATATTTGCATACTATTGCACGATAGTTCAGGCTCCCTGAAGTCTGTCTTTGAATTATTCTAAATGCTTTCTCCAACTTGTGACTTAAAAATTATATCTGGAATTATGACATGTGAGAAGAACATTTAAAAACTCAGTTTAGAAAATCCATTTGAATTCTTGTACCATTTTTAGTGTATGTTCATGTGTATATAATATGCTTATGAATGAACATACATATGCAGGCCAGAAGTTGGCACCAGGTAGCATCCTTGATGGTTCTCTACTTTATTTATAGAGACAGATTTCTCCTTGAACCTGGAACTCACCAGTTCTGACTAGTTTGGCTATCCTGCTTGCTCTTGGAATACCCTGAGTGTGTCCTAAATGTTGGGATTACAGATGGCCACAATGCCTTTTGGCTTTCTATGTGGGTTCTAGAGAACCAAACATTGGTCCCTATGCTTGTCCAGTAATCTTGAGTGAATAGTATTTTTGGTACTCTCATGAGTGATTTGGCCTTATTAATTTTCTTTGACTTTTCATCTCTACCTGTGGACATATTTTTCTTTAATCACAGGACCTTGAGTTTTGAAAAAAGTAAGCATAAAGCAAGGATATAACTTGAAACCCATAGAAGAGTTTGAGTATGTGAAACTGCATTTAATACTGAATAGAATAATTTAAAGCATCATTTATTTCTCCTCAATTTGACTGTAACTCTACAACTTGTGTTTTCTCACCAGGTCTCCCTTGGGTAAAAAGACAACATCCAAAGTCCCAATTGGCCATCTCTTATCACAAAGTAAAGCTTCCAGTACTGTGACTGTGTTACATCCAATTGAGTTGTTGGCCAAAGGGGTACCATGGATATCCCCAAACATCCCAAGCACTTGCCAAGAGAATAGGTTGCTCTCATCAAATGGACAGGCGGTTCCATTGCTAAAGACCACATCTATAAAACACCTTGAACATAGAGAGGTTGAGCTGCTGCCTACATAGAACCTTCACCACCATATTCTAGTTTCTTTGGTATGGTAAGGTACTCTGCAGGCTATCAAAAGAAAAATGTAAACAAGAATCCAGCCACAAAATCTTTGATCTACAGTGCTATCTTTCCTGCAAAATGTGCCAGTGCAGTGGTGGTACAAAGCTTATGGTAGTAACCAACCAATGACCGATTTGATTTAAGGCCCTCTCCACAAGACTGAATCCATACCTGACTCTGGTTGGGTGATCACAAAAGAGAGACAAGGTAGTCCAGAAACCTAGGAACAGTGCTTTATTCAGTCCCAATTAGAGAAGCTTCATTTTGTAGCAGATGGGAACAAATACAAAGACACACAACCAGATATACAAAGGAGAGAGAACTTGGAATACACAGCTAAATGGGATGTCTCCATCAAATCCCTCCCCTCAGGGAGAGCTCAGGGAATCACATGGAAGAGGAGGCAGGAGTGTAAGAGCCAGGGGGATGGAGGACACCAGGAGAACAAGTCTCTAAATCAACACAATCAAAGCTCATATGAACTCACAGAGACTGAAGCAGCATGCACAAGACTGACATGGGTCAGCACCAGGTCCTCTGTGTACATATTACAACTTTCAGTTTAGTAATTTTATCACTTTTTTCTTAATATCCCCACCACCGTTTAACCTCCATCATCTCCTCCCAGTCCCTCCTCCCTTCCCCTATCCCCCACCCTTGGTTTAGCATTTTTATGGGGTCCTGATTATGTGAAGGAGTGGGTCTCTGATTCTTGTTTCTACTCTTAGGACTCTTTCTTCTGATAGGCTGTCTTGTTCAATTTCAATGTGGCTTTTGTTCTATCTTGTTATATTTTATTTTGTCATGTGTGGTTGTTAGCTCTTAAAATCCTGTTCTTTTCTAAAGAGAGAGACAGAAAGGGAGTGGATCCGGATGGGAGGGGAGGTGGGGAGGAAGTGGGAGGAGTAGTAGATGGAAGGGAAACTGTAATCAGAATATATTATATGAGAAAAGAATCTATTTTTAATAAAACAGGAGGAAAAGAAGAAACCATCTCCAAATGCTATGGTGACAGGAAGGTCTCCCTACTCTATATTCCCTTTGATCTTTTCTCAAAATACCTTTTTAAGGAGATGACTATAACAAACCCTATGTTTTTAGAGCCTGCTGCAGCCAAATATTAGATTTTGATCCAACCAAAGTAGGGTTGTTTGGAACTCTGTGATCCAGTCCCCAAGAGGCCTATAATTTGCTTGAAGACATTGAACAATATTATGAAAATAGTAATAAAACAAAATTAACTTTTCTACCTTAGGATAATCCACTCATATCCTTAGGTCTTTGTCAATAGCAGTCAGGCATGACTGCAAAACAATAACAGCATTCAGCAGATTCAAATGAGAATCCCATCAGTTTCACTGCTTTTTTGCACTGTTCCTGTTAAATTGCACATGTTATAATGAAATGACTACTGTGGTCAAAAAAGAAAAAGATAAAAATGCTTCGATAAACTCTACAGTCACTGTATGAGCCTAAACCTCTCAGCAACATCATAGAGCACATGTGTGAAATTGGTAAAAATTTCAAGTTGACTTCCAACCACAAATTTTAACAAAGATTTAATATGTTACCCCATAGCACACATATATACAAAAGGCCAGAGTGTGAAGCTGACTATCCTGATTGTTTTGAAGACATCACTAATTTTTTTCTTTGAATATTAGTCTAGTTAAATTTTACTGGATAGATTTACAGTGAGCAAACTACCTTCATAAACACTAACTAGGTTTTTGCTTCCCTTTATATTACAAATATTGGCAGGATAAATGCCGAGAAAACAGCACTGACAATTTTCTTTGGGGGCATTTATGTGGGTGGTGCCTCGGAGTGCATCTCAAATATGTTGTTAGTGTTGGTCTTATGCCAGCCTGGACTACCTAATTTCTTGCACATGACACTATGCTACCTTGACATCACACTATGCCAAAACTAGTGAGCAGGTTTGCTTCACCCTCATGATAATCTTTCCTGAAACTTCGCTTTCTCCTGGGCTTGTCTGGTAGCTCTGCTGTTCACAGACTGCAACTCAGGTAAAAATATTAAAACAACAAATGAAACTAGAAGGTCATTTGTTCAAAAACATAATTGAGCATTTTGACTTTGTACAGTATTTTTCATTGACAACGAGTCAAAAAGCATTTCTCT